TGCTACAGGAAGATTCGCTTAACCACATTTCAGCTTAATGTGTTTGGTCGTACTATTTTTAAACCAGTTCATAATCGCTGGGGTTTTTAAGACAGCATCGTGTTGCGTTCACACGTACTATAAGCCAAACCAGTTTAACTATTCTGACCTCTTCGGTCGGAGTTTAGAGTTAACTACACATGGGTAGCTTCATATTCTTTATTCGGTTCTCGCACGCATTCGATAACATTGGCACTGTCTGACCCCGATATTTTCACAGGAATGAAACTTACTGTGTACTGCGCTTGCTCAAAGCAAGCTGGAGCTAGTGTTTTTAAGCCAACCCGTTCAGACGACTAAGATGAACCAGTTTAAAATAAAAAGCCTTCTCGAAGACAGGTTGCGAGCTGGGGTTTTTAAACTGGTTTATTTGCCCCACATTTGCGTTCAGACGCTTAAGTTAAACTGATTTAACGATCCCCGGGGTTTTTAAACCAGTTCAATTTAAGCGTCTGAACGGGCTATTAGATTAATACATGTATGAGCTGTACATGACCGGCTAAAATTTGAGCTTTTCCAACCAATCTGTTGGCTTCATCCTACTTGCTGGGTTAAATGACCAAGTATAATAAGCAAGTCCTTATTCCATTCTCAATGGAAGTATCAGCAAAACAAAGGTTTTGTATTGTTCCTCTAGTTGATGTCGGAACCAAACACAAGGGAAAATAACAGTGTATAGGAAGTATCTCATAAGTCTTAAGGCTTTTAACGACAGCTTCAAGAATATGTCCTTTCATCAATTTGACACTTACTTAGCTACACAAACATCAAAACATTTAAAAGAAAAAACACTTCAAAGAAAAGATGGAAGCATTAAATTGATCAAATTCAGCTTTTAAATTTATATGAAGCAACAAAGACTACCAGAATAATGTAATACATGTTAACAAAATGCAAACTTTTAAAGCTAAGTAAGTTTAACTGCAGAACCTGTGTTTTAAAAGGGTTGACTACATTAATCCAATAGTGCATCAAGTCATAAGAAGTAAAAAGAGCTTTGAACAATAATTCATGACATTAAAGCCATCACGTTTCATCCATTATATAAATAAGAGCATTACAAGGTCAAAATTGTGTACAGCATCAAACTTTGACATTTATAGACAATAGCTAAATTCCCTGATTTAAAGTCCCTGGATTTCCTCTTTAACCATATGTAACCATTTCTAAACCAATTTAAATAAAACATATGATAGTAATACCAAACAGAAAATATTCAGTGCAATTCACATTGACAAGCACTGTACAATTTCATCATTCAGAGAATGTAATCCATAATGCTTCAATTAATTTATTTTCTTTTAAATAAGATATATATATGCTGGATTGTGATTGATGGTGAGATACATGTAGTCCTATCTTCTTCTTTACAAATTAAAGTCACAGATAACAGAAAGAAAATATGTTTTTATGTGCACAGATAAATGTGGCATTAAACTCAGATCCAGAATCTCTAACATATTTGTACCAGTACAGAAAATCTTTGATCCACTCAAGCAGAAGAACATACAGTTTTGATTGTTTTATCATGGCTGTGGCATCAAAAAACATAAAAAAAATGCTAAAGACAAAGACATCATTTAACAACAAATGGTGCCTTCATAAGTTTCTCACGGAATCCTAGACATATTGCAAGTTATTTTATGTTTTGATTTCATAAAGATAAAACATTTTTTTATGACAACAAACAAAAGTTTCTTTCATCTGGTTTTGTTGCAGGCTATATTCTAAGTTGAAAATAAAGAAGTAATTTATGAATATGCACCATGAACTGCATTGGCTATAAAAGGAAATTTGTCAGGTTTATTTCTTTGACCTAACTAGAAGTCTTTGACAATTTATGTAAATATCTACTAGCAATTTCTTATTTTTAGATAAATCAAAACATAAACTTTCATCATTTCCTGACATGACAGAATATCTGCTTGGATTTCATTATTCTACATTCTACATTAAATCGCAAATTCTGTATTATGAAAGTGATAGTTACAATGCCAGCTGTGTCTAAAATTATTTCAGATTTAATTTGATCCATTCCAATGTCTCATTTTCTATAATAAGAGTCCCAAACGACAGTAATGAGCTCTAATAAAGGTTGAACTTGCCTCAGTGAATGTTCAACCACATATGACAAATTATCTATAGTGCAGTGAGGCTATTTCGCCATTATATTCCGAACATGTCCTACGCTATTTCCCAAATGTCCAACCATGAAACATGCCCAATCTGACATCAAGATATGGTGAATAATATTCAATTTTCCAAATTTATTTGACTGTAATGGGTATATTGTTCTATTACTCATCCCGATTATCATTGATAATGGGTCGGATTGATTCGGTAATTAAGTGATCAATGTATTTATCATGTCACACCGCCTATACACCTACCTTGATTAACTACTTAATCTGCCTTGATTGGCTGACTTAATCCTTTGTCGGACAATTCATCAGTGCAATTTTGAACAGAGGTCATTGTATCAATCCATTAAGAGTAATTATAAATTTAATCTACATGATTAACCCGGGATTTCTCCATTGTCAGATATTTTAATCTCCTTGGTGTGGGGGCCAATAACATACGTAGCAACTACCGTAGTCATATATCCTAATAGTATATAACACCTCAGATCAATATATACGATAACTTGTCTGCAATATCAAATCGGGGGAAGCGGACATTAAATAACGCTATTTCACACACAAACATAACGTGTGAAATTAAGAGATGGAAATGTGACTAATGTCGGAGAAAGGATTCTATTTTGATGGCATATTCTCAGATTTATGATATTTTGAATGGGGTTTATGTTTTTAAATACAGTAATGTCAACAAATATTTTGATTTGGGATGGTGTAAGTAGTTAATTGTTTTAGACAATAGCTGGTTCGAGAGTCGAATGCTATGATTTAACAGATGATGTCACTCGCTCAGCGTTGTAGAGCGATGGTTACTGCCAAACAAATTTGAAACAGGTACGAGTTTGCAGTAGTCGGCATACTTTCATTCTATAGTATTATGAATACACATAATTTTGTAGGAATATTACTGACATAAATTGAATACTGCACGGGAACTAAATATGAAAAATAACGAGGTGCCCCCATTTTTATAGGTACGTGAATTTGAAACAGTTATGGGTCAGCAGTAGTCGGCACGCTTTCATTCTATTCTATTACAACACGTAATTTGTTGCCAGGCAAGAAAACATACCCCCACAGCAGCTACGTTGTCCAGGCAATCGTTCATTAACTTTTATGCCTGAAGTCAAAGGTTGGGCAAATAAACCAGTTTAAAGACCTCGGCTCTCTACATCTCTTCGAGAAGAGCTTTTCAAATGCTAGGTTATCTTGGCTGTTTGAGAGTCAGCTTAAAAGAGTTAACTCCAGCTAGTTTTGGGTACCCGTAGCAAGTTATATCTTTCTTTGTACACTACATGTAGTTTAAATATAAACGTTTGAACAGTCTAATAGACAGTTCTGAAACCTTACATCTTCAGTTCCGAGCAGTTGGAACATCTTCTTGGTCTCTACATTCTTACTGATTGAATCCACTGCCCAACACAGCGAACAGTACAAGTATATTTAAGAGAGTGATTTATGATACCAATACCTACAGTAGCCCATCATGTCTGATTGAGAAACTCTTATAACCTAGGGTCAGGTTACTCACATAAGTATGGTGAAGAGTCATAGAGGGCAGCACTTGTCTATTTGATATATTTAACAGACGATCTCCATGCCCACCTGCTGTAGATGTTCGTAAAACACCAACTCAAACAAAATTTTTACCACATAAACATATGTCAAACACTATGATATACACACCTGTCAATCACTTGGTATCAAAGATGATCTTACATTATATGCCAAAGGAACTTTCCATCTTATTTGTTTGATTGACAAATTTATTCAACAAGAAGTTACCACCTACGAATTTGTTTATATCCTGCCAGTTGTCTATAATATTAGAAGTGTTGTGTGCTATCCAATATTGACGTAAAAGACACGTTGAGGGCAAAGGATCACTGCAGACCTTGCCATCAGCTTTACTGCTCAAAATCGTCATTAACCCAGTTGGAGCATAACAGTTAAACCCCATTTCATTTCATACTGATCAAAATACTTTATCATTTCAGTACAGTATCCCAGATCAAGAAAAAGAAAATGACTCAATGTGTGATTTATTGGTGTAAGCGCGTGCCTTTCTTATTCACATATCAAGTCTGGGGTATGTCTAGGATTGTACAGAAAGTTGTGAGTTGTCAAACAGGATTTATGATAAATCTCTCATCTCGTTTAACAATATGACAAGTGGGAGTGGGCTTAGATATATGATCAAATCATTACTCAATTTCCAAAAATACACATAAATCCACAATCTCCAAAAACCTTATCAAACGATTTCTAAGTATGTTGGAGTGGAAAGTTAATCCCAAACTAAATGCTAAAATAGACTATAAATTTTAACATCAGACTGAAATCTATGAGATATGTAGTGTGGATAATCCAGTCCACTAGCTAAGCTGAGACACACATGCCAGGGTCTGGAACAACTCAATGTTTAATTTTAATTCTTGCAATTTAAAAAAGACTCCTTGTTTCACCGGTTTGTCCACAGGTGCTGTAATCATTGTAGTTATAGTGAGAGGTCAATGCACCTGGTGATCATGGCAAGTTGACAACTGGATGCTTAAGCATGCACATACATGTACATGTATTTGAATTTGTTTATCCTGTTATGTAAATTACGTCACCACTGTAGATATAGACTTAAGTACTAGTAATTTACAATATACATTTTGCGAGTTCTGCCAGGCTATGATACTGGTAGTTTGTAGAATGATTTAACAGTACTTCTAATTGATGAATTGTTTGTGTGTGTGTGTGTGGTGGGGGGGGGGGGGGGGGTAAATACAGTTATGAATGATTTTTCATGTTGTGAGTATTCAAAGTACTTACCAGTATCCTATAGAAGGATGTTCTTTTAAAACAAATGTAGGTATAACAGGTAACTTCTTCAATTCATTTTTTGTTTCTTCATCACTACAAAATAAAAATATTGAAAAACATTAATTAAATGTATTTTACATTTTCACAAAATGTAATGTGTGCATTCTAGTCATTTCAACAACAACAAAAAATAGACTGTCTCATGTACAAAGACGGAAAAAGAAAACCCTCAGCTTGTAGTGTACACTATTCAGAAAACCCAAGTTTTAAGTTACTTTTCTGAGATTTTCATATTTAAGTAAAAGCCCATTCCTTCCGTACCTCACACAAAATACTATTTAGAAAAGAATCTTTATTAAGTGCCAAATGAAGAGCTTACAGTGTCAACACATGGTTTCTCAAACAGCTCTAAATTACCTCTTCATTCAATACCTGTTGTTTATGTTCTCTTTATATCTATCAAAGGAATGGAGTGTCATTTATACCTGATCCAAGTATTCAGTGACGCCCAAATAAAAAGCGAATTTTGTTTTTTAGACAGTCATTAAAGTATAGCAGAAATATGAAAATTCTGAATTCTAACCCTAACAAGTTTTAATTTATCATATCTTTGTAAATATTGAACAGAATTCAACCATTTTTGGACTGATTCATCTTTCACAATATTGTAGTAGTTGGCAAGGTATTCAAAATCCCTTCAAAGATGATCAGAGACTTTAATTTTACACATATTTCTTTGAACTCAACTTATAATTATCACAATTTGTAAATGTAGCCAGAAGCTAAACTCATTTTTTATTTAGCTTGGCTTATTTAAGCACTACCACTTCAGAGATCATACAACTTTTTCAAACTGTACTATAATAGTTCCATGATTTTGTGAATTGGGCCCCTGTAATTCAAATCTCATTTTAATATCATTGTGTATTCATCTCACCCTTCCTTATTGAAAATTTACCCAAAATTTCCAAATATTACACACGAAGTACATAAGTCACTTTACAAAAGTATTATTAAGTCAGGCTAGTGTAGCGTTCACACGCACTATAAGCCAAACCAGCTTAACTGTTCTAATAGTCAGTATTCTGTAACTAAGGTTTTCCCTTTAACCTCACACAAATACCATACTAGAAGACTATCTATATATCACATCTTGTCCATCATACAGGAGAGTTTGTTAACATAACCTCAATGTTCTAGCTAACAGTTTACTATACTGTAGTATCTTATTCACTATTTGTATTTCACACAATTTCCTTACTTTCAATGTCTGTCATTCATATTCACAATCATTAATGACAGACAATGTATAATACATGTATCATATAGTCTATAACCAACAACCCTATTTTTCAGTGTAAACTCAGAATCATAGAATATCTAAGCATCATGTAGTGAAATAACTATTCCTGGTATAGAATTTAATTGTAGAATTGTATAGTGGAACCCTTATATTTTCTCTAATATATTTAGGACTAAACACTTTTCTTTGATTCAATATTTAGTTTTGCTCACTTTCACACTAATGAAGAGCAAGTACTTTTAAAATGAAGTAAAGTTCAAATACTGACTTGTCTTTAATTATTTAGGCATACATAGATAGGTTTTTCTTTTTAGATTCAAAATCTTGGGTTATCCACATTCCTGCTTCAAAGTCTTCATTCAGACCATAAATAAACTAATTGAGATGTTTTCTGTCAATGCCTTTATTCACACATTCACACAAGACGTCATTCAGTCAATGTGCCAATTGTCACAGTTCACATCTATACACAAAATATTTCACTTTCAACCAAAGATTAGGTTTAATTGAGCCACCTTTCCTAACCTTCAACTGTTGTCTATTTCACTTTTCTTTCCTTTAAAGAAGAAGTAATTACTGAAGTGTCAACAAAATAATTGGTTAAATTGTAACAGTTAATGTTTAAAATTCAAGTGCGAAACATTTTTTGGAACCTTTCCAAACTCTTCCAGACTTTAGATTCAATTAAACAGTTGAAATAGGAAAGATTCTTCAAAACAAAATATTTATCTCTCCAGCAAGGGTTTAAACTCAAACTTATCTTTGATGAGCAAGGTCTACATTTGACATCAAAAGATTTAATTGTTGGTATTAAATTTCTACCGGACATTATTGATTAACTATCTTTAAGGATGTTAATCTTTAGTAGAACTACATGTATGTTCAGTCCTTACTGCTGAATGAGACAGTTCCACACCTACTTGAGATGAAAATTATGATGCTGAGACCAAACCTATCTTTTTATTCGAATGGTATTAATATACCAGTATCTTTCTAAAAGAGTTTACCAGGAAAGCAACCTTACCAGCTTGAGCTAAATTAAAATATATCTTAGATGAAGAAATCATTGGTTAGCTCTTGTAATAATCTTAAATTCTTTATAGTTCCTGTGGTTTTCATATCAAATACATTTCACAATTCTTTCTCAGTGCACTATCTTAAATGAATTAATAACTGAAATCTTCCAATTTCCGCTCCCCTGCCTGATAGTAGATTGTCTTGTATTATTACTATTAATTTAATTTAACATTTATCTATGTTTCATGATTCTATAATTTCCATTTATTCAGTCAATGCAATATTAAAGAATATTAAATAACTCCATAATTAAAATTGTCTGATATCGTGAAATTTCCATTACCATATGATATAATACTATCATGTACGATGAATAATTTCTAGCAACTTCCCATGCCATTAAAAAACATGGCTCTTTGTTGTGTGCAATGTTTGTTTTTTTATGCGACAGGAAGTGGATATAATTATGATAGAGGAGATTTGTTATACCAACTTTACATATAGAAGAGTGAAATCCTTAGGAAGGTTTATGTAGTCGACAGTCTTGACATTCTGGCTATATAAATTATTAGATGGTTATCATTGTAAAAAGTACCATTTTGAATTGCCTGTACAGTTACTGTTAGGTTTTTGTTGTTGGCCAATTTGTCCTGCTCTATTATATATATACATTTAAATCATGCATTGTTTCTATTAGCTCAAAGCTTGCTATAAGCTAGATCTGATGACAAGACTGCAAAACAAGATGGTTCGGTAACTGTTTTAGCAGGGGGAAATAAGGATCAACAAGCTTCAAAATCACCCATGAACATATCCTAACCCTGCTTTTTCTACATGTAATTTAACATTAGGTTAATATAGAAGCTGTTTGAAGTACCCAAGAGTATACATATGAATGATATCTTGGTCAAGTAAAAGCTTGATTTTAATACTTGATGAGATGTGATTTATTATACAGACAGAACCAAAGGAAGATACTAATAAAGATAGTTGATATAAAATTAGGGACATATTGCCTAAACTAATAGAATCTCACCTTTACTCTACCAACTTGACCTAATGCCATTCCCAATGAGTAGATTTAATCATATAAGATGTAAACTATTGTACTGTACATGTGTTTAACACCTTTCTCTGATTATTCTCTTTGGACCTGACCTTCATTTATTTTAAACTCTTGTAAACTTCAAAGCAATAACAGGAATATAGTTAGGCTGGAATCAAAGACAGGCAATGTGGAGCTCTCTTTTCTGATACCATAGATAATACTCCATGGACATAATTGCTGTCTCAACAACACTTGTTGATAAATTTTGTTAGAACAAAACAGTGATATTATTATACGCTAATAAAAAAATGGAATTCACAAAACACAATTCCACAACATTTCAGTTTTTGGCTTCTTTAACTTTTAAGACCTTGAACTTTGTTAGTACACAACCTGTTGACTTGGATATAATTTAGGCAACAGTCAGCATGTTAAATAAATACAACTCATTTACAAGTCATGTCCTTTTTTATCTTCACAACTTATCTCAACTTCATGGCATGATTATTTTAACAGACTTCTTGCTTGGTGCCACAGAATATATATTTATATTGTAATACACCTATACTTGTGCATCACAACAATGGAAGTCATTATCCAAGTGATGTGTACAAATTCATGTGAAAAGAGACATTGCATTGGTTGTTTGAAACTGAAAATTGGAAAAAAAATCTGACTTCGATCATTGCCGAATGGAAATGAAATCGAATGGGATTTAACATCCTACTGTTCTGCCATGACTGGGCTAGTTTCCAGTGAGATATCTTGCTTAAGAATGAGATATGTTTTCCACCATGTTTATTCCGAAATTATGACTTCATGTACATATACTTTTAATCTCACTTCAGCATTTCACACTTTCAGGGAATATTGCACACTTCCAGTTTGGGGAGTTGAAGTGGAAGTTCGACTTCGGCCATAGTTTCTGCACAGTATTTTGAAAATACCCTACTGATGCTTTTTTTTTGACAATAAGGAAATGACTTGATGACACACCTATATTGAAAGTTGCCCTAGCATTTGCCTATGATGATGCTGCTACATCATAGTATTCTGTAAATAAAAGTGACAAGCGGTAGAATAACAATACTCTGGTAGTGTCATGTATTTATAACCACATGTAACAGGTTCTCTATTACTAGAGAAGTTAATTATTATGCCACTGTAGCAGTTGGAAGAAAATAAACATTGCACAAGTAAAAAATAAACTACTTGGAATCAAGTCAAATATCTTACACAGCTTCTTGATCATAGTAAACTAGGTGAATAGCGTTATTTTCTACAAATTGTTAAAATTCTACATTCTGTCCCATGTCTACATTTCGTATTTACCAGAACAAACGAGGAATTATTCTACATTTCATATTTCAAATAATGCATCATTCTACCTAGTACATTTCATATTTAAAATAATGCATCATTCCAAATTTCATATTTCAAATGGTGCATTATTCATAATTACATAGGTGAATCATTTTTTTTACAAACTGTTATTTCCTGGTCGTCGTGTTAATTAGTCTGATCACATGATACCAAAAAATAGTTCAAAAGCTGTTTTATTGTGACTAATACAATGGAAAGTTGTGGCAACTGTCATTTTCATAGTAATTATTACAATGGGAAGTCGTGACAACTGTCAATTTAGGCCAAGGTACTTAGAAGTCTTTATAGATGACAAACAGGTGGTTATTATATACAGGATGAGACTAGATCAGGTTTATAATA